TTTCTGTGAGCAAGTTACATAAACTCATCTTTAAAATGGGAATACTGCTTTTGCCTTCTGGGTTTTTGTGGAGATCTGGAGTTTCGTCCCACCTGCATGGCCAGGCGCTGGGGACACAGCAGGCCTAAGAATACAGGGAAAGCAGCTTCCCAGCTGCCATGGAGAAGTGCACAAAGCGCAGCAGGGGCGGTGGCCTGCGCACATCCCCCCAAAGCAGCTTTCCCAACAACTAAGGTGACTTCCTGACCTGCCCGTCATGGTGAAGAATGATGAGAAGGTGAGCGTGGAGGTGTGGCAGTAGAAGGGAGTTGGAAGGCAGTTCCATTTCCAGTCTGCTCCTCCATCGGTCAAGCAAACCCTCCCCCAGCTCCGGCTCCGGTATTTCTGGCTGCATTTCAGAAGTTTCCGAGGGATCTGGGGGCTCAGAGGAGGAGTGGGCTCATTCTCTGGGGGAATTTGCACAAAGGTGACATTTGAACTGGATCTTAAAGGAAAAGAGCTCATCAGATGGGAAGTAGAACAAGGTTCTCCAGGCGGGGGAACAGCCTATGCAGAGGCGTGGAGAGTGGCCATGAGCAGTGTTTTAGGGGAAATTAGCTGCTGGAGGGTAGAGCTTACAGAGAGAGGGGGTAGAAGATCCAGCTGGAGAACCTGGCAAGAGGCAGCTCTTAGAGAGCCCTGAGTGTCCCATCTCAGTGTTGAAGAAATAATGCTAGTCACCGAAGACCAGGAAGGAACCTTCTGGAATTGGCCCAGCAAGAAGGGCTGAGTTCCTGGACGAGGCAGGGAGGCAGAGCCAGTGGGGAAGGATGGGTCAGCTGAGAAGCCTTTCAGGGATGAAACCCAAAGCCACGTCCATGTGGAGGCCTGCAAGAGTAGACAATGAGAGCTGTCTGTGTTTGCAGAAAGCCCTGTTGAAAGGGCAAAGCCTTATTCTTAGGAATCACCGGAAGCTCAAGGAGCACCCTCCTAGCTTACTGTCTCCCTGGTTATTGCCAGGGCGGTACAGGTAGGCCTGCATTAAATACCTGCTAGACGGGTGAATGGTTAGATGATCTTGAATTCAGAGAATTCAGAGAAAACTGTGCTACTCACCATCAGCCTCTTAGCCGAAGCAAGTCCAGGGACTTTCTGGTGAGCAGCCAGATAGCCTCCCTTAACACTCCTCCCTCTCTCTGTCTCCCTGCCACAGCATCCAGCGCCGGCTGTCCCTCCAGCTCCCCATCCTCCACCACGCCTACCTCCCGTCCATTGGAGGTGTGGACGCCAGCTGTGTCAGCCCCTGCGTCAGCCCCACCGCCAGCCCCCGCCACAGACATGTGCCACCCTCCTTCCGAGTTATGGTCTCGGGCCTGTGAGGGTGGTAGGCCTGGGGCTGGGCCTCCCCCATGACAGAACCACACAGAGCAGAGGCGTCTGCTACAGGAACACTGTCGGATCTGGCTGCGGAGAAGCTGGGCGCCATGCTGGCCTTGCGGGACTCTTGGATGGCACTCAGGTGGACAGGATGGGGCGCACTTGGCACCTGACCTCGCGCCTTATTTGTGAAGTTTTTATTCTCTCACAAAGAAGAGGAATGGAAATGACTTCTTCCTTAATGTCTGCAAAACAGGAGGAACTGAAATATTTGAAACTTTGAGAGAAAAAAACCTAGACAAGGAAAGAGTCACTAGAACTCCAGCTAGAAGTCGCTGCACAGCCTTGGGAAGAGGAAGGGCTGCTGGAGAAACGGCCTTCGCCTCTGCACACCCATTGCTGGCTGCAGACCCCAGGCCAGCCCTTCTCCCCTCTGGGGACAGAGGTGGGAAGGGCAGTCAGGCCCGCAGCTGCCAGTCCAGCCAACCAGCCTTCCTGGAGCAGGGAGCCCGCAGGAAGGGCAGCCAGGCACAGCTCTGCAGCAGGTGGCCCAGGGCCGGGGTGCGGGCGCAGGCTGGCTCACAGGCCTCCTGGTGGGACCTTACTCTCTGATAAATGCCACACATTAACACAATAACACCCGTTCTGAACCGTGGGGATTTAGGGCACGTCACTGCAGACACGCTCTGCAGCATTCACCGACAGTCGGTCATGCACCCACCTCATTGGCCATGTCCTTGTGTTTGTATCAGGTGTTCCTGGTAAAAAGGGGGGCCACCTGAGCTAATCATGGGATGTCTGCTCCCAGCATACACAAAAAAGAAAGATTGTGCACTTTAACCTCTCTCATCAGGGCCCAAGGGCTTGCTGGGTTGTTGCTGTTATTGTTTTTTCCCACTGACTTTGTTTCTGACCAAAGTGAACCATGGGCATTCTTCTAGAAGACATCCCTGTACTCATAGGGGAAGGAGTTGCTAGCTGAGGGCTTCTCTCGGCTTCAGAAGGCATCCTTCAGTCCAGGCAAGCTGGTGAGCTGTGCCCATGGGGGTCACAGGGGTGATCAGTCAGCACACTGTCACTCTTTCCTTGTAGTTGAACCCCAAAGAGCACCTCCTGAGAGTAAGACACACTTGGGTTCAAGTCTTTACTCCACTGCTGACTCCCTCCATGATCTTGGGCAGGTCACTAGCGTCTCTCTGAGCCTCAGTCTCCCCTCTCTAACAAGTTGGGCTTGAAATAATACCCATCCCTGCCTATCTCACCTGATCTCATGCAGGAAAGCTTCATACCAAACAATGAAGCGACCTGATCCGTGACCTTTAGCCCTCACAACAGCCAGGGGAGTGGCCCACAGAAGCTCCCAACACAGCCCTCTACCAGGATCAGCTGGCTGAAGAGAGGCTCCCTATGACCTTTGTGACCTTCCTAGACAGGTTCATTCTTTGCTGAAGAAAGGCCTGAATGACAACGTCCAGGACATCTGCACAACTGAGCAGTCGCTCACTCCCTAAAGAAACCTAATGGCAGCTTCCACAGGCAGGCAATAATCCCTTCCCAGACCACTGACGTCAGGAATATGCTGCTGTCACCACCAGGCTTTGACAAAAGGGCCCACGGGGATCTTACCATCGCCAACATTTCAGAACACCCTATTTCACGTAGTGTAGCTTTCCTCTCGCCTCCCCCCCCCCACCCCAAAGAGAGGTTATGGAGGTACTGTAGCTTTTAGGGGAAAAAAATGTTCACACATCACAGGTCAAGTTGAAGTCATTGTCTGTTTAGGCACTAAAAACCGGTGTTGTCACTCACTGTGTATTACAGTATTTACTTGCTTTCTTGATTTCACCAAAATCAGATTTAATTTAAAGGGTCACATTAATTTTTCAAAGAGAAAAAGACAATTCATTGTACATAATGTATACACACAAAAAAATACCTGTAGAAATATTATTACAGCATAGCAGGGAAAAAAGAAACAAAAGTATTGGACAGTCGGAGGTGAGTGTGTGCGTCTGTAACCCATTGTGACTCCTGAACGTGCACAGTCTTCTAGGTTAACCCACAAAGTACATTCTCTGTCTTACTGATACTGTAGGTTCACCCATTTTTTTAAATTTCCCTGCAAATAACAAGACCCACAGAAGTGACTCTAGCTATTTAACGGTCTGTTCTTTTATACGCAGCAAACACACCGCACATTTCTGAAAAGGCTTCATTCAGCCTGAGGTGTTTTCCAATGATGTTAGTGCACAAACGCTTTCAATTAGACTGGAACTGCCAGAATCAAATGTACATGAGGAATTTCTCGTCCCCCTATTGCATGGTATCAATTTTTAATAAATTGTTGCAAATTTGTTTTTATGAATAAAAGGGAAAAAACTGTCGTCTGTAATGCCTACTCTCAAGCCCAAAATGCAGGTCATTTCAGGCCATATTCCTCTGCTCAGAAACTCAAGGGACAGTTCTGGGGTTGCCTGCTCAGCATTGTTCCTTCCGAAGCTGCCCGCCCTGCCTTCTGCTGACAGCGAAGCCCTGTTACCATTTGGCACAGCTTCTGGCCACAGGTGATGGATCTAAAAGTGGGAACCTGACCTGAGCTGGGCCAGTAAGTCCCTTCCCCAGGTCTCCTCCATGTAAAGCAATGTAGTCAGCCACAGAACAGAAAAATGAAGCCAGTCAAGGACAGCTGTTCCTGAAGGCCAGCAGCACCCTGAGCCTTCCCTGCTGGGGGGTGCAGGCCTTCCTTGGAATCTCCGCTCCTCCAATAAATCACCCTTTTTGTCAGGGTTGGTTCAAGTTCAAATCTCATCACTTGGAACCAAAAGGTTCCTGACCAATCGAGAAACCTTACAGTTCCCCTACCCCCAGCCCTGACCCCCCCTCCAGACCATGACAGCCGGTGAGACTTGGCCCCTGCTCCTTTCCAGCCTCATTACCCGCCTCCTCTAATCGGACAATAGCATGCTTCTTAGGTAGGAAACTGTTGGGGAAAATATCTTGACTCACCAGGGGGTCAGGGGAGAGAGATTCTGGAAACAAAGCTAAAGAGAGACAGGGCAACAGTTCGTTAGAAAGGACTAGAAATTTGGGAGGGGAAGGAGAGAGAAAGGTGAGAGAGGACGGAAGCCAAGTTCAAGTAACATGGCAAAATGGCCAAAAGACCTTTAAGAACAGAGATGTCAAACATTTGATTTTAAGTCATTTGTGTTGCTATGAAGTAAACCCTCTCCTTCACTTCACCCCCTCCTGCAGAATGTCCCTAAAAACATTCAGTAACCTTTACTATACAAGCAAAAGTCTTGTGGATTTGGGTGGAAATGAAAGAAAGAGACAAATACTTTTTGGATTTAGGTGGAGGCCAAAGTGGAGATAGAAGAGGGAAAATACGCTCCCTGCACAAGCAGGAACGTGGAGCCGCAGGTGATCATCAGCTCCCGGAAAATCACAGGAGCGTCGGAAAGGCACAGGAATGGGAAGTGTGGGTTATCCCCTCTAGATCTCGCTGGCCATCATCACCCTTGCTGACATCTAGGTTATCTAAGTAACAGGAAACATTTTCTCCTGTAGAGCCATGTATCTCAAAGATCCTGAAGGCAAAGGTAGAAATCCTAGAAAGCAAGACCAGTAACACCATGCTCACCTACCTCACAAAATAAATTCCATGCTCACAGCTTTGGAATGGAGTGAAACTGGAGAAGCTGCCCGCCTGCAGAGCTATTAGCTTGGCCGTCTTTGCTCTCAAGGTCATGGCTGCTCTCTTGCTCCGGTCCACCAGCCTGTTACTGGAGAGTTCTGGCACATGGGGAGTTAGGGCTCTGAGCCAAGAGGAAACACATTTGCTTTTTCTCCGTCTGAATCCCAATGGAACAGACCCAGGGCAGTATTTTTCAAACTTGGAAATTATAGAGACACCTTTTAAGACATGGTGTTGACTTCGATTGTTTTTATAAAGCAAATTACCTAAATATGTTCAAACTAGATATAAAAAAACACATGCTTACATCCTTCATGTAAAAGCCAAATAAATTTATAAATTAAATGCAAACAAAATGACAAAACCAATAGAAAACATATTACCAACACTGATTTAATGGGACAAATGAGCTTTTGCTGAAAAATAAATTGCAGCTCACTGTGCGAGCGTAGCACCAACTGCTCCCGGGCACATTCCTTTGAATTCCGCCTGCCTGGTGTGATGACTCAATTATCACACTGCTTTTCCTTATTTAAACTACTGTGACAACTTCATTTATTCAGCAGGACATGATGTCACTTGGCCCTCACTCAGCTCTAACACATCACTTCTCTATTCAATCCACCTTTGCTTTTTTCTCACGAGCCTTTGACAGTCACGGGGCCCCCAGATAACACACACAAATCAAACGGTGATTGAGTGCTGATGCTCATTAAACGCTAGGCTTAGTGCTTTGCAGGCATAATCTCATTTAGATCTCACGGGGACTCTAGAGCAGGAACAATTACTGCTGCCCTTTTGCAACTAGACACCGGCACCGAAGGTGAGTGCCGTCCTGGGTCACGCAGCTGGAATGATAGAGAAGGAATTTGACGCTAGAGCACACCCTCTTACCACTTCCTTAAACTGCCTCCTCAGAAGTAGCTGGATTCAGATCACCCAGAATATGCCAATTTAATTTATTTTAGATTACCTTTAATTAAAATTAAAACAAAATTTTTTAATGTATACATTTGCACACCTCTGAGTTTCATCAAGTGATGAGATTTGAACTTGAATAGACTGAGGCTATAAACCCAGTCTGGGCACCTCTGGCCCAGGCAATGTGAGAGGGGGAAACCCTTACTGCGCTGAGGCCCAGGCAAGCCAACAACATGGAAGAAGCAGAAACAAAGCTCTCCCAAGTTGCTCATCACCCATATCCCCCCTGACCACTGCATCTGGAGCATTCAAGCCTCCAAGATCTGACAGAAGGATTCTGCCAGCATCCAAAGGCAAGATAGAAGATGCTCACCCTTCTGGGGGAAATGCCAGTCCTGGATATGATAGTCACTGCTTAGAAATACCCACCTCATTAAAAGGGACTCACACAGACTGAAAGTGAAGGGATGGAAAAATATCTTTCAGGCAAATGGAAATGAAAAAAAAGCTGGGGTAGCAATACTTATATCCGACAAAATAGACCTCAAAGTGAAGGCCATAACAAGAGATAAGGAAGGCCACTTCATAATACTAAAGGGATCAATACAACAAGAGGATATAACCCTGATAAACATATATGCACCCAATGCAGGAGCACCCACATACATAAGAAAACTCCTGGAAGACATCAGGGGAGAGATCGACAACAATACAATCATAGTAGGGGACTTTAATACACCACTGACATCACTGGATAAATCTGCTAGACAAAAAATCAGCAAAGAAACAGCAATCCTAAATGACTCACTAGATCAGATGGACTTAATTGACATCTTCAGAACACTTCACCCCAAAGCAACAAAATAAACAGTAGGTCAGAAAAAAAGTATGATGTAGTATATTCACAGAGTGGAATATTATACAGCAGTGAGAATGGAAAAAACTACAACTACATGTGACAATATTAATGAATCTAAAAAATATGTAGAGTGAAAGAAGCCAGACATAAAAGAGGGTATATTGTAAGATTCTTTAATAAGTTTAAAAAGAAGCAAAACTGCCCTAACCGGTTTGGCTCAGTGGATAGAGCATCAGCCTGCGGACTCAAGGGTCCCAGGTTCGAGTCTGGTCAAGGGCATGTACCTTGGTTGCGGGCACATCCCCAGTAGGGAGTGTGCAGGAGGCAGCTGATCGATGTTTCTCTCTCATCGATGTTTCTAACTCTCTATCCCTCTCCCTTCCTCTCTGTAAAAAAATCAATAAAATATATTTAAAAAAAAAAAAAGAAGAAAAACTAATTTTTAGACATCAGAACAGTGGTTACCCTGGGTGGGGAAGGTGGTGTGAGGAGGGCTTCTGGGTGCTAGTAATGTTCTGGCTCTTGATCTGAGCAGTGTTTACAGGCCTGTGTTCACTACATAAAAATTCTTTGAGCCCTAGCCTGTTTGGCTCAGTGGCTAGAGCATCAGCCTGTGGAACAAAGGGTCCCGGGTTCAATTCTGGTCCAGGGCATATCTTGGTTGTATATCTTGGTAGCAGGCCACTCCCTGGCCCAGTTCCTGGTCGGGGCTCGTGCAAGAGGCAATCAGTCAATGGGTTTCTCTCACATTGATGTTTCTCACTGTCTTTCCCTCTCTCTTCCACTCTCCCTAAATATCAATGGAAAATTATCCTTGGGTGAGGATTAACAACAGAAAAAAATTTCTTTGAGCTGTACACTTATGATGTGTGATTATATGTGTATAGTAACACATATACATATCACACATATGTATATTTTATATATTATACTAGTGGCCTGGTGCACAGATTCGTGCACATTGAAAGGAAATTAATTAGAAAGTGGCCAGTGGGACGGGACTGGGTGAGACGGGGCCAGACATGCCCTAGAGCCAACCTCCTGCAGTCCCTCCCCGGCCAGCTGCACCTGGGGCAGCGCTGTGGCTCGGAGGGCATCTGCAGTCACTGCAGCTCGGCAGTAAACCAGATTTGGAGCCAACAGCGCCCCAGCAACAACATAACCCACGACCGAAGATGGAATCACACAGCCAAGGAATTGGGCTCACTCCTCTCTGGTTCTGGGGTGTGTCACCCAAGAACCGCCGCCACCAAGTCACTGCAACTCGGCAGCTCCTGCGTTGAGCATCTACCCTCTGGTGGTCAGTGCGCATCATACCTACCGAACGGTCAGATGGTCAGACGGTCACTTAGCCTTTTATATATAGATATACACATAAAAATAAAAATATGTATATGTTACATATACATATTTTTGTAAAAATCATATACTAGTATGTATATAAAGAAATCACACATCATTTATATATACTTCAATAAAATATGCCTTTTCCTGGACAGTAAAAAAACATCCATTAGAGTCTATGAAGATTCTGCAGCATAAAGACAAATAGCACACAACAAGCTGAGACTGAACATACTTTGGGAAAAGGTTTTCTGCAAGAAACAGAAGTAAATGCCAAATCTCATCTGCATCTGCTCTAGTCTCGAGAAAAATTAGTAAAACCTCATTTCCATGAGGCAAGAGATTTTATAGATAAATTGATGAGACAATGGGCTGAAAAGAAAAAAAGAAAAGGTGGGGAAGGAAGGAGGGAGGAGGGATGGAGGGAAAATTCTAGGATGGAGGCAGTGTCAAATTTAACTCCTTCCCTCTCCCAGTTTCTTGCTGCAAATAACCACTCCACCTCAATAGGGGAAAATCCTCATACCATCTTCCCCACTACCCATCCCCACCAAGGGTAACCACATGCCAAGCATGTTTTATAGTGTTTATAGAATCTTGAATAAAAATAAGAGAGTTTAGAAAATGATCTGGTACAAATGAATGTTGGTCCCTACCAGCTCAAAGACCCTAGGATTCCTAGAACTCATGCTAATTCTAGTAGCTAACACTTGCCAAATGCTTTCTATGGGCCAGACACTGTGTAAGCACTTTATGTGGTTTACCTCACATAATCATGTAATAACACTAGGCGGTAGGTGCCATAATTATCCTGCTATACAAATGAAGAAACTCAGGCAGAGAGGCTAAGTAACTATGTCCAAGGTCAGACATCTGTGATTATAGAGCCAGAATTCAAATACAATCTAACTCTGGAGACACTAGAGAAGAAGTGATGAAGGTACCACCAAGATTTGATATTTAATTTCCCATGAGAATTTTCTCTCCCCACCCATTAAGTGATGCTCCTGTATTTCTTACCATGCATACCAAGAACATAAAACACGGAAGTCTAGTTGTTGTTTTTTATTCCTCTGGCTTATAAATTTGTGAAAATTAAACTAAAAATATTCTCTCATGTTATTTGATTCTTTCAAATAAAACAACAAATTTAAAAGCAAGTTTCCCTGGAACCAACATTCCTTTTGTATAATCTGGTTTACATTCAGAATTTGAAATGGGATATAAAATAGAACATGTTCAGCGTATGCACTGTCAGGTCATTTCTTTCAAGATTCTATGACTAAGTGCTGTAAAACATGTGCTTGGTGTGTAGAACTGAATTTCCATGAGGCTCAGTCATATAAAATTGGACTGATGGAGTAGACATTTGTTACAACGATCCTGCCAAGTAGCTGGGGAGCCAATTTTGACCTTGAATGTCATGTTAAATGTTGTTTATCTGTTTTTAATATTTTATAGGAAAACTGCCAATGAGAACCTTGTTTGCAAATGACTTGTAGCTTTAAATGAACCTAATTCCTTTAAACATTATCTATTTGAAAATAATGTGCCAAATAAACATGAATCCTTGGGTTTTATCAATTGAAAATGATATTACTCAAAAATAGGTGTGTTAGGAAGTATATCATGATGTTTTGTTCACCAGAAAGCCTAACATTTTTTTTTTTACTTCTGTGGTTTATTTTTATTTTCTTTCCTGTCTCCCCCAGCCCTCAGAAATGCCACCATATAGAGCCCAGTAGCAGTTAGCTCAGCTCCAATCTTCCCCTTGGGTAAGAAAGGGTGGAGAGAAGGGAGTCACTCCTGAGTCTCCATGCTTTCCTCCTCCTCTCCTTGAGGTGGTTCTTCTGTATTCTCCTCCTCTTCCTCCTCTTCCTTCTTCTCTGGTGGCTTCTCATAAGCCTTTTCTGAAGGTGTCACTATCACTCCATCCCAGGTAGATATTTCAGAAGCAAGATAGCTGGCATCACCCTCCTGGCCAAGGATCTTCCTAAAGCCACCATGTGAGAGGATTCGGACCAGAGTCTGAGCTGTGTAGCAGACCATGTCCTGCTGTTCCAAAGTCATGACCGTGTGTACTCTGAAGTTGCCACTCTCACAGGGGTCTGTGATACCCATTGACCCTGGCACGAACAGTCCTGCAGCCAGAATCTGCAAGCAACGCCTGTATGCCACATTGAGGGCCAAAGGCTGTCTGGTGGGGTTGTTCATCACAGCATAGTGCCCGAGTAGGTCAAGGATCCAGGGTGTGAGGGGCTCAAAGCCAGGAAAACGAATCCTCAGGTCCTTCAGAAGTCTCATGAGAACTTTAACTGTGGACTGAGAAGCATTTTTTTCAAACCAGCGAGCATGTCGGATGGCTGCTAAGGCACTCTGCAACACCTTGATGTCCAAAGGGAGTTCTGGATCCAGTTTTCGGGGATTGGGTGGCACTTCTGTAATGAGAATCTTCACTGTAGCATCAGAAGAACTGGTCTCAAAGCCAGTTTCATTGGTAAGCCTGGTCAAAACTTCAGAAGGATCCTGTGCTCTTAGGCTTTCCAAGACTTTGTTCCTGAGGGCAGCAACAGCTTCCAATGTTGGCAAAATCTTTAGGATTACCACCAGGTCAGCCACATTATGTCCTGTAGTCATTGTTCCCTTTTTATATGATCTAACCTGTCGCATCTCTTCAGTTTGCACTTCAAATGTCCCTGGAGCCACAATCAAATTGTCAATCACATTGTTTATTTTTGTCACCAGAGAAAGGATAGAGGCCTGTTCAGCAGAATTAGGAGCAAGGTCCTGATTTCTTTTCAGCAATGCCTCACTGAAGGAAGATTCATCAGGTGCTGGCTTAACCTGAGGGAAGGCCATTTCACACAAATAGAAATCAAATGGGATGTGGGGCACAAAGGGCCTGAACCCTCCTCCCAGGCCTCCTCGGGAACCAAAGCGCCCGCCACGACCTCGGCCTCTGTTGCCCCTCATGGCGCCCTAGATCCTGAACCAAGCCTTGTTGGGGTCCAACCCCAGCAGGTCCAGGGGTTCCCAAAGGTGTGGACGGAGTCAGCGAAGAAGGAATGACAAAGTGGCAGCGTTCAGTTGATCTGCAGCCTAGCCAGGTTCTGTAGCCAGGATCGCCAGCCAGGTTCTGTGTGTTATTGTCTTATTACATCTGTATTTATACCAGTTGATTTTAATCCTATCAATTTCTATTCCAAAGGTTAGGGCGTTTCTTATCTCCATTCCAGGGAGTAAAGATTATGTAGCTTAAGCGTGATTGTTCATAGTTAAAGTGATTAACTACCCGCCTGGCACTTAGTTAAGAGGTTTTATTCCCTCCCTAACTTCAGGGAAAATCCCTATCTGGGGAAACAACCTTTCTCGGAGAGGTGACCTTGGTTAAAACACATAGCGCCAAGAAGGGGAGCAAACATACTAAGAACAGTATGCCATATACGCCAGGTCCCTTGAAACATATGCTGTGCAGATGTTTCTTCCCTGCAGCGACTGTGTCAAACAGCAAGGATGGACCGGCTTCCGGCAAACCCTACCATTTTAAAACATATTTTCAATAAGACTGTACTCTTTCCTTCACAAGAGAATTAAAACTATCCCATAGTAAGAGAAGAAAAACTTCAACATGGAAAACACCTCCAAATAACTTAAAATATAATGTTCGTTAGAGCATGTAATAAACCCTTATTGAACATGAAGAAACACAGGATTTTGTTGATAATCTGTTTCTCTTGCCTTCACTAAATAAGTGTGTTGAATGAATATGTAAGATATGTTATTTTTAAGGATGTCAGATTATTAACCTGCCTGTTTGGGTTCTGCTGTGGGAGGGTTATTCCTGAGTGCCTCTTTTAAGCCCTTTGACAAAAAAGCTTGGGAACACCTAATGCGGACAAGGGCAGTACACCGCAACGGCCACTAGGTGGCACTTCGGGACAACCGCTTGTTCTGCAGCTAACAACATCCTCCACGAGGAGGGGAGGGATATTGGCTATATTTTGATGTAATTACCAGAAGTGTATCCATTAGGATATACAGCAATTAATGCATTTAGATCAACAGGAATTCCCTCTAATGTCCCTAAAACTCAAATATTATACATCATCTTTCCAACCTTACTGTCACAAACATACTATTTTTACCTAAATAAGTTTTGCGAAAATAGTTTTGTGGCCTGCTTTTTCAACCTAATATTTTCCGTAGAATTCCATATCCTTCTGCAAAAAGTACCCAATCAGTTACTTAACCAATTTCAGATTTTTGGTCATTTATAGTCCTTCCAGTTTTTTTGAAATAATAAGTAATGCTATATCGAACATATTTGTCAGCTAAAGGGAGAGAAGGGGCTAAGAAAGGGCCAGAGGGGTGGACAGAAATGGGCTCCACGGCCCAAATGGAAGAACGCGTCCTAGACTGGAAGGAAGGGGCGAGTAAAGGGCAAGAGAGTGGAATGAGGCGGGAAGTTGAGCGAGTTGGGGCCTGGGTACATTTACTGTTTATTAGTTCGTACAAAATTACTGAGCCCAACCGCGCCCAGCAGCACAGCAGCCAGCCGGGCGCCCTGTATTATGCAACCGGCGCCGGAAGGTGGAGAGCTGGGGCTGGGACCGAGGAGGGGGAGGCCGCCGCGCTCGGCTGAGAGCCACGAAGGCGCAGAACCAACGCGAAGAGAAGAGGTGGACGCCGAACCCACGAGCCCCACACGCCCGGCAACACCGGAAGTGGTGCCACCGAGCCCGCCGTCTCTCTCAGCCAATGGGCGCGCGATGCGCCGTCCGACGGAGACCCGCGTGGCGCCTGGGGAGAAAGGGCGGCGGCCCCTCGGCGTGAGGCCCTATCCTCCTACATTACTACGCGAGCTACCAGGACAGTCCAGTCAGTGACAGGCATCCCTTCCCGTTCCTCTCCCGCCCGTTAACCGAGCTCAGTGACACCACGCCTCCAGCCAGAGGCCCTCCTCATGCCCGGCCGCTGCCCTCAGTTAAGATGGCTGACTGGCGGGTGCAAAACCCGGAAGTGGGCGGGGCAGGAGGAGTCTGCGGGGGCGTGTCGGTGGGCGTGGT